CATCTTCGAAGGAGATTACTGAAAGAGGTTTACACGTCTCTTTACACAATTGTCAAGATCTAAAAAAAACTATCACAAGGTTCTCTGATGAGTATTTCACGAAATATCTGATTGCGCGGAATTACAAGCGGAATATGAGTTATGTATCTTCCATTCTCTCATTACAATAAATTTTTTATTATTTTATTACTTATACATAATATGTAACTTTTTTTTATAGAAAGTAAATATATTAATATAATTTTCTCACGAGAGCATATGAACAAATTGGAAGAAATACTTTACTTTACTTATATACATACAGAAACAGATCTGTATGTGAAAGCAGAATGTACCGTCGAAGCTGTATCTCGTGACACGTACATATATTTATTGAAGTTCCAATGCAGGCGATTGAGTCATCGATACGTGACATACGTATCAATGCGCGTAAACAGAAATTTAGTGCATACTGTCCGAAGGTCGATTGTAATCGCTTTAAAATATGGTATACGTTTATTCAATATCAAATCAAACGACCGAACATTACGTTCATATAATCAATGATTTAAATATAACATAGACGATGACATTGTACATGCTTTATATTGAAAAGGATGTTAAACTTACATATTTATTGTGGTGACGCATGACTCCTCTTATGAAAACGATTGATTTATAATCAGTAGGTCGCAGATTCGAGCTCAACTAGGAAATGTATAAAGAAAACACACAGGTGGTAATGATAGATATTTAACATTCATCTCTCTATCTGTGTGTTTTTCTTTACATCAATTGTGTGATTTATTTCATTTTTTATCTCATTTGTTCATAAAAGTATTAAGATATACAAGTATTAGATTATACAAAAATTAATGGTTCACAAAATATTTAATATTTCATATGTGCTAAAATAAGGTATAATATCTCATAAACCATTGATTTTTTATATCTCTATCTTAATATTTTCATATGCAGAATAATTGAAGAAATCATATTACTTATGTAAAAAAGAATCACATAATCCCATTTAAAAAAGGAGATGACCTCATATCTTTTTAGCGCCTTCACCTAGGAAACAACAACGTGATCAAAATACGTCCCTCTCGAAACCGTTTCCTTTTCGTCTAAAACATTTTTTCGTGTTTTATGTATTTTTTTAAATATTTGCCTAGAACAATTAAAATGGAACACATATATGTATAATTCTATCAACACATATATATTTGTTGGTCGGAAATGACTATAATTATAGTTATTATTATCATAAAAATGGTTACTATAAATGATAATGTTAAATATTTTTTGGGACAATTATATAATTGTCTAAAAAAAAAAACTAAATTAATCATTTTAATTTAAACTATTTTTGTGGTAATAATAATTATAATCATACTTATTATAAGTTATTATAACTTATTATAACTTATAGTCGTTTTTGATTGCCAACTATATACAATATATATTTGTTGATAGAACTATATATATAATTATTATTACTAAATTATAGCAGCAATAATACTAATAATCATAATTATAATAGTAACATGTAACTATATAGTTACCATTATACAATTACCAATTATACACACACACACAAATACCAAAAATTTTTTCTCTCACAATTAATGAAGGAGAACAAGATTGAGCAGTTTCATAAAGCTCGATTCACAACATTAGCCTAGTGGGAGTCACAAAGAAAACTCTTTTAGATCTAAATGATGTTTAGGGACTAATATAGTCCCACCTGCTACTCACAACTATTACTATTACTACTATTACTACTATATATTTATCATTTTTGTGAGTAAACATCCTAATACTTATTATAAAATATTCATCAAAAGCCGAAAAAGAATAATATTTTAAATCTACAAAAAATGTTAAAATAATGTTTCAAAAATAATATTTCAAATATATGTATGTATATATAAGATTATGTAATATTTATAAACAAGATACAAGGGGTTTCTTTAAATCTGTATAAATTAAGACACTCGTGTGTCTTATAGAATTTTTTCTATTGTTGTAGACTACAATTAAATGGCACGTTTTGAATGAAATATGAGTAAAAGACGCAAACGCAAGGATATGTGATATCGGAAAGCAAATCCAGATTTCTCTGGTTGATTTTGCCATATACAGAAGGAAGTTGTTATTAAGTAAATTCTTAGCATTCCTTTCGGTATAGCACTGCTTTTCTCACGGAGCATTGAACATCCTTATAGAAGCTGGTAGAAATGCAAATAGACCAGAGAGCGGCTATAAAATGTGCAGGAGTAAGCGAGTGCAATCGTTGAGAAAAAAAAAAGAAAATGGCAGATACATCACGTCGAGTTCTTATACATTTCTTATAAATTTCGCAAAAATTCAAACAATAAATATTAAACAATAATAAGTTAATCTAATTAAATCGTTATGTTAATAAATAAAATAAGTAAGGAAAAAACCAGGACGATTGGGTCTAGATATTGATGCATAATAATGTTATTAATGTTAATTTATCCAAAAAATTCAATCTACAGATTAATTCTTAAAATTTAATGTATCGCAATATCATTAAATCATTTATAACGTTAACATCACAACAAGTATAAATTCGTATATTTCCAAAGTTATCTTTCGTATAATAAATGTGAAAAAAATGTTTTCTGACTAAAAAAAAACAGTTTTTTAATATCTATCTTACAATTTGTCGATTATAAATTGCAGGTTACGATACAGAAGATGTTTTTGACGCGCGCGATTTATTTTGCTCCGTTATGACGCACCTGATATATAGTTTACTGAATTTATAATGGAGTTACTTTTTATCATTCTATAATATAAACCCAGCTTACATGAAACTGCCTGCGTGATACCAGTTTCGTTTACAGAACGAGTTCTCGTCGCGAAGCAGCAACAATGAGGACCGGGTGAAGGCATACGGAGAAACCTATATAGCCTATATCCATCGAAGGTTCCATGACCCAGCGGGCACTTTTTTTGCTCCATGTAGGAAGCCTGCACGAGGCCTCAGAGAAGGTCGTTCTTCGATGATCGTAGTCCGTGTAGCTGAAGTCAAAGCCGGAGATGCGCACGAAAGTTTAATAAAATTGAGACCGCCAAAATTCAAGTAAAAATGCATTTCACAGTTTTTTTAATTTCATTTCTTAAAGTAAAATCAAGTAAAGTTCAATTAAAAAATAATGACTTTCAAAAGTATTTAAATAAAAAATAGAAGTAAAAGTGATAAAAGTAAAAAATGTTGGATTTGTTTTCATACAGAAAAACTTTTATATTGTATTGTTCAAATATTTTATCTTTACCGATTTTACAATTTTTGCTGAACAAATATTTTACTTTTCGTATTGTTGAATGGACAAATAGTTTACTTTTCATATTCCTGAATGGATTACGATAGCCATGAAATTAAATACGGGTCAAAAATCAATCACAAGAACTAAAAAGTTTTGAATTCCCAGACGATATCAGACCAGTTCCCGGAATTCTGACCCTGACGTCATCTACGATTTAGCTAAGGAAAGAAATGCGAATGACGCTTTGTGTGTGTGAATTTTTAGAGTAATGTAGCGAAATTTCAAAGCGACATTGAAAATGCAAGTTTCTTTCGTGTTGTTTAAAATATTTACCTACTACGCCCCAATTTAGTACATGCTTTTGGCGAAGAGTATAAAACATTTAAAAAAAAATACAAGTACAAAATATCGAATACTGAATAATACTCGAAAACTAAAACATTCACATTTTTATACTTTATACCATTGTTATTATAATTTTATTTTAATGTTTTTTACATATGATATGCACTCAAAAATTAAGGGGATCCTAAAATCCAAAGTTTGTTTTATCGATTATTTTTCAAATAATAAATGTTTTTTTAATTGGCTTAACAGATTTAAAAATTCTTTTCCACACAATTAAAATGTAAACGATAGTCCAAACCGGTTGATTTTATGTTAAAAACAAAAAAATTGGAAAATTACAGTTTTTTGTCGGCTTCTGGCGTTGACTCGTAACAATATTTGCTTATATAAAAGTTTTGTATTTTGTACATATGTACGTAGAAAACAATCTTGATTTGGACCAAGGATTACACAAACAATATTAAGTTCTTAGAATTAGACATAGATATCTAATACGAAAATTAGTTAGAAAATTTATACATATGTACGCGTTCGATATTGATGCAGTAGTGTACAGTGATGTATTAGTGACATAAATCATATGTAGATCCTACTGAAGTCCTACCTCAGTAAAATAGATGACTTTAAAATCCCTTTAAGATCCAAAATTGAAATCGAAACATATTCATTATATACATACAATTTACTAGTAATATTCTACCTAAATAATGTAAACTCGGGTGTTATAGCCATAACGGAAAAGATGATTATATAGACTATAATTTCTCCAATAATTGCTAATTAGTACATTTTTTCAACCTCAAAAATAATCAATATTTACACTAATTTATGTACGCACAGTTTTTGATATAACGATATTATGAAAATATTATGTAATATTTTTACTTTCGATTGCCTGCAAAGGTTTGCATGTGCCGTTAAAAGCTGCAACTAACGTTAAATAAATTACACATGACAGTTAAGTTGTCATAATTAAGATTTTATACACAATAAAGATACGTAAATGTGACCTATTATTTATTTATAAATACTATGGCCATTTTTCGATACAATTCGGGAAAGATGGCCATTAACCAAGTAAAAAATACACACGCACAGTTTTTTAAAATATAGAAACTTTTATTTAGTTTAAAAGAATCATATTTTGTTATTATTATAGCATCAGATTTTAACTTTTATGTTACCAAACTTGATGCACACAGATAACATCCTATTTTATCTTATCATTAATTCAAAGATTCGAGCGAATTAATGAAAATGTGGAACGAGAGTCCGCGCTCCTCTTCATCTTCCTGCAGGAATCCACTCATCGTCTGACGTCATCTCCGTCGGCGGTTTGGAGAACGGAGGTTACGTGTCGCGGACGCGCCGGACGAAGCTCAATACTCAGCTCGGCCAATCGCTGGGCGCGTCGTAGGAACTCCAGCGGAACGTGTTGCCGTCGTCGTCGTCTCGTCGTCGGCTGAGTCTGCTCCCGCCAGTCGAGTCGCGTCCGCCAAAGTGTGAACGTGGTTCCCTCGTGATCGGCCGATTAGCCCCTCGGATTTTTCATCCGTGAACGCGACTCTTCCTCGAGGCGAAAAAAATGGCCTGCAACAGAGCTGCAAAATCTGGATTCGCCGCGGAGGCGCAAAGGAAGGTGAGAAACCCGTCGTCAAACCGCCCTGTCCATGTCCGCACGACGACGTAGGACTCGTGGACTCGACCTACTAAGGGTGTATTTCCGCGCAGACGCTGTTCATCGAATTGGTGAACACACGTCTATGAATGGTATCGTCTAGTCGGGGTGGTTGGGTCAAATTGAAGTAAATTACGACGTTAGATTACTTTTCGATGAAGCTAATTATTATTATAAAATTGTTAAAAGTGACAGCTAGTTTTTAGTGGATATCTTTAATTAATAGTCGCTGTTATTGCTGACTGTTGATCGCGATTAAATCTCTCACTGATACGATTGTTTTCACTGACCTATTTTGAGACAGGGTGGGGTGAGAATTTGAGGATGGTTTAGGGATGACAAAGGATAGTCGACGCTGTGGAAATACCAGCTGTTTCTCAAGATTATTCGCGTCGATTGTCGTTAATTTAAAAAGCTGTTATGCTAAATTATTGTCAATTAATATAGCAAAATATATTTTAAATTACGAACACTAATATTCTATGATTTTAAATAATATCGTAACGATAATTTTCATATCTTGTTAATTTTAAGTAATCAAGTCATTACGTCTATTGAAATAAAATGAGCACTCGAAGATATATTCTTTGCTGAGAGAGATTAAATGTCATCTGCTTTCATGTATAGTATTTTGTGCTTTATTTTTTATAGTTGTTTGTTAATATATTATTGACCGGAGATCGATTATAGTATTTTCTTTTATGCCCAAATATTATGGACTGATTCGTGTTTAAAGAGGCATACAGTTTAAATAATCGCGTGAAATTGTTAAAGCTTAAAATTAACAAATTTTTTATTATAGAATTTATAATTATGTTTTTATCCTTTACTTTTATCGTGATTTATTTTTTCTGACTTTTTGTATATTATAAACAAAATTTTGTTCGCATTAAATTTCCTAAATTAAAAATAGGCTATCGACGTTGGGTTTCTGCATAGAACTTCGATTAATAATGTGTTAAAAAATGAGAAATGATATTTTTGGCGTTACAGTTTTATACCATTTCGTGATTATAATTTTCTTATAGTTATTATAAAAAAGAGGTATAGAGTTTACTAACACAATGTGTGACAGTAAATAATGAAACAGACTATCGCTGTTTGTACCCCGCATTCACACAGTTCGTGTTTACATTATCTTACTGCGTACCGATAAATATACGGTCACCAAGATATTCGCATAAATAATAAAATAAAAACACACTAGAAAATACTATTTTAGATTTTAAATAATTATCTTTTATCACACATGTGGCGCATATAATGCAATTTTAATGATTTTCATTAATTTGTGGTGTTATGTTTCCGTTTTGATTGCGTACAATTTTGATACGCTTTTCGAACATCGTTACATAAACGAGAAATAGGAAATACGCGCAACAGTTGGCAAAAATTCGCGACATAGTATCCAGCCTGGCGAACCTTTGTGTTAAGTTTCAAGCGGGCGTGTCGTTTATCTCGCAGCTGTGTTTAAACGTGCGTTTTATATTCGCCCGGTTTCACGATTCCGAGACGAAGCGATTCTCGCCAGTCATAAATCACTTTATAACACAAACTCATGTATGCACCTAAATCGCGCCCATTCAAATGTCCAGTAAATGGTCTCCAGTCGAGTGTATATCAGCACAAAGCGACGCTTTTAAAGAAAAACAATTGGCGATAAAGTCCTTCCTGAGAGAAATCGTCGAGAATTAACTGAGAACGACATGTCGCAATTTCGAAAGTTATTTTTATTACACTGCCACGAAATATAACTCAACCATTGCAATATAAACAATAATTTTGCGATTTTTGATAAAACTAAAAAATATAATCTTTTTAATATGTATGATTATATAATATATAAAGTTAAAGAACATGTCACGTATATTTTTTATTGAACAAAGATATCTCAGGCGCGAAACATGTTCGAAATATCTCGCGATTAATTTCGCGGAAACATAATTATTACATAATCTGTTGAATATACAAGGAATAAACTTTTGAGGAAAACTATTGACATTTTATAAATATCCTTGAATGTTAAGACTGCAAAAGTAGCTGACGTAAATTTTATATTATGCATTCGAATGATGTACACGTGAATAATCGTGATAAGTAATGCGATATCGCGTGCGATTTCGATGCAAATGTCTCACGAAGCTAAATTAAGATCAGGAATAATAAAAATGACACACACAATACCAGAATTTAATTCGAAGGGAGCACGTACACTATCTTGACAATTTCATTAATAAGGACATTGATTTAATGATTAAAAGTTGTTGAATTAATTATCTTATCAATTAAGCTGTTATTAAAAAATTATATTCGCATATGTATTTTGAAAATGCGTGCTCTTATCTCATTCCGGATCGCAAAATCGATTACCTTTTCTCACCTTAAATAAGTATCCCGCGGAGTTCAGCGATGCACACGTTTCGTAAGCGGCAACAGCTGCTAGGCGGTCGTTTCTTTCGAGGGGAATTAAAATGAGACCCAGTTGCCGAAGAAGGGAGCGTCCCTCGCGAAACCCGCTGGCCATGGTACACTTCTTAGGCCGTTCATTCTGCGCTCCTTCCCTCTCTTCGGTACCTCCTCAAATATTTTTTGTGCACAATATCGCACTTGAAAATTGAGCTATTCTGTAATGAGAGCAGATAGTTCTCATCTTCCTTCGCGCGTGACTAATGTTCAACTGTCTTACGTCTCACCCTTTGAGAAACGTTGCAGAAAATTCGTGTGCTAATTTATAACATTAATTTCATGGTGTTGCGAAGCGCAAAATTTATTCCATAACACTGATTCTCACGGAAAGCTGAAGAGTCACCTTTATATAATAAATTAACGTCATTTTAATTTTTAAATGTATATTTAAAAAGGTAATGATTAATAAGTATACATATGTACACATGAAATATATATGAATACTTATTTAAAAAATCATTAAATACATTGTTTTTACTTGAGTCATTAATATTTTAGCTTTAAGCTATTCATTTATAAACTAAATATTTAATGGTTTTTTTTATATATATAAATAAAAATATTTTTATCTACTGAAATATTGTTCCTTATCCGTAATTTCTTCGGGGGAACAGCTTGGAAAGTCTTGAATATTTTAAGAAGATAAGGCTTAAAAACACATAAGCATAATCCTTTTCGAGTAAGATAGAAACTTTGGTACTTAATAATCAATGTTTGCTGATAGGATGGAAATACACTGAATGTTACCTTATACATGGGTAGACAGTCATTTTTATCAGTTTCCTTCCTCTGAGCTGCGATTTCCTGAATCCTATTGTGAAATTGATAAACTCATACATTTTTATCGCGTTATGCTATTCCTTACTATAAAATATCTCATTTTGAACACACAACACACACACACACGCATTCTGAATATTGAAAATTCACGACGAGATTATAAATAAATTAAATTATTCGAATTATGTTTAAATTGCATTAATTTCCTTGATAAAACAATCATACGATTTTCATAAAGTATATTTTTTATAACAGAGAAAAGAGGTAGCAATTTTTTATATCTTATAAAACAATTAACGATATTTAGTAGCTAATTACAATCGTAAATAAATTTTTTTACATTTTAATAAAGGAGTGAGGAAGTTGTTGAATCGAGTATATTTTATGATTCGAAATATTTAAAGACACTCGTAAAAGTTCGTGGAGAGGTTCGCACTCATTACGAAGCAAGATATGCTTATCGTCTGCGGAATGCAGTTTGAGCCAGCTCGTTATACTTTACCGGTACGAAATCATTTGTCTCAGAACGTCGCGACGTATGCATTAAGATTAATTGTGACGTCGTGTATTTTGAACTGCCAGTACGAGAGTAGGAAAAAAAAGAACTTTATCTGAGATTTGTCACATTTCTGTGATTGATATTTCTGTACAATCTATTAACGCGTGATATAATTAAAAAAATAAACGAATATTGCAATCACTTATTATAGTTTTGCCCAAAAAAATAATCATTAACGCATGATATAATTTCATAAAAACTCATAATCAATTTCAATAATGATGCAATATTCAATAAATGGCAAGATAATGATTTCTCTGTATATGTCGGAAGCAACAAATATTATTTAAATGAAAATTACAAGAGTTAGTAATGGTAAAAGATGTTATGTCATTAGCAACTGTTATTAATAGCGAGAAATATAAAAAAGGTATAATTAATGCTTAGAATAGGCGCGAACGTTAATTATGAAATACGTTATGATTAAATTAAACCTTTATTTAAGATATATGCTATGGTTCCAAGGTAACATTGGACACGTAATCAACGCTATAAATTAAAAGCACTGAGCCATGACCACTTCCCATAATTGCTAAGGTTCAATGTGCCTGCCTATTTGTACCAGCTATCGCGGAGAAATAGATACTTATGTATGATAATGACTGATATCAAGCTCATAATATCACAGGTATCACGATCTTAAACGGATATTTCCTTAAAAGAAACGATAAAATTAAAAAAAATTCTCATTTATTGAAGGCGAATATTATCGCGTGAATCTCTGTCAGCACTCCTTGAATATCGCAGTTAGTATTACTATCGTGGTCGAGTGAAACAAACATTTCAGCACATTCTGTAATACAATTTTGCATCGCAGACATATACATATGTCTGTGACTTTACAGCATAGCAAATATTGACAGAAATAAGCAGCTAAAAATAGCATAAGCGAAAAATCGAACCTTTTTAATATGTTATTTATTTCATTTTTTATATTTCTTTTGCTTCGTCGTCCTTATTCGTGAGAAAAGATATGTAAAAGTATTTTCCATTTTAGGAATTTTCCAGATATAAGGTGGTTGCAATTTATTTATTTCTTTTATATATGTAATTTTTAATTATTAGTTTGTGTGGATATAATAATTTTCAATCACATTAATTTTCTTCGAAATAATGATTTTATGATATCGATGGATAGTGATTCTTTCTACGAATA